CTCGGTAAAGGCTGACGGCAGGTGGCCGCCGTCACGCCGGCCACCTTTGCCGACGGCCAAATTTTGCCGAGTGCCCGGCACTCGGCAAAGATTTTTTTGCCGACGGCCAATCTTTACCGAGCGCCCGGCACTTGGCAAAGGAAATTTTTTGCCGACGGCTAAAGTTTGCCGAGTGTCCGGCACTCGGCAAAGGAAGATTTGCCGACGGCCTATCTTTGCCGAGTGCCGCTGGGTCCGGCTCTCGGCAAAGATTGCCTTTGCCGAGTGCCCGACAGAAAGCACTCGGCAAAGCTTTTTTCACTCGACAAATCAGCCGTGTCCGGTAGTGAGAGAGCATGGAGAATTCAGCAAGCTGATTTGAGCTGGAGCAGAAAAGGTCGCCTGTGGTGGAAGTCTGACAAGCATGGACAGAGATGTGCAACCAAGAGTTAAGCTATAGTGGGGTGTGTGTTGGAATGAATTGGAATTGGAATAGCTTGCATGCAGCATTGTAGTCGTCTATCATAGGCCAGCTAGCTCAATCAGCAACCGACAAATCCCACTGTGTTAAATTGCTGGAGAAAGGCTATATGCATGGCCCATATGTGATCATGCATATATGTGTATTATAGATTTATAGGAACTCCACCACCTATTATCAGAAATTAAAGCTTCCATGATTTTAATATATAGGCTACAGATTAAGTGACCAAATCGCAGCGAAGTAACCACATACTACTCTATGTTTTCAAGTTGACGGACATACGTGTTTGGTTTGAGGACAATGGTAGATAACATATGACCATCATCTATGAATTTTGGAATATAGATATCTATACTGTCTGTTTGGTTGGATGAATGGAACGAGCCATTTTCCTTTTTTTGTTAGATGGATTAGTGTGGATGAGATGAGAATACTTTTTTGACGGCAGAGATGAGAATACTTGACTAATTATATTTATATTATTTAAATAACAACTAATTATACATGAAATAAATATACACTAACACTAATTTTGTCATGATAATCGCTAGTTACAGATAAAATATGTTAATTAGTATCACTATTATCTTAATTGGCATACAAAGCATGTACTAATTAATATATTAGCACTTATCAAAATTAATCTTGCCATCATAATTACTAAGCAATCCTATAACATACTTATAATTCTTAATTATTTACTAATAACATAGATTAGAAAACATGGATGAGCTCGTCAGGCAATTTTTTGGTGGCAGGGATATCCAGCATCTGAGCGAATATTTACGTGTCAAGGGCATCCATATCTAACTTGCTCACGAACCAAACATTGTTTGTCCATAGACCACCATCTTCCTTGCGGGGTATCCATCAAACCAAACGCATAGTATATGTTTACATTCTTCTCAAGCTTGCAATTCCGATCCAGCCCTAAACTAGCGGTCCACTCAAAACGTGTTTGAATTGAAGTGGACGGCAACAAGTTTGGATCGTCTCTGATCTCGCCTACCTCAATTCTTGTGCCGGCAAGCTTTTCGCTGTAGGTGAGCCAAATCAGCTCGCTCGGGCTAGCAAGCTAGCTTTCCCTAGCTTACGTCGGCCAAGTAATGATGTGTCACTCGATCAAGTAGTGACATATCTATAGACGACCACTTCACTTGTAAAGCAAATTTGAAAGATCAAAAGCAGCCCGATAGGTTGTCCACTCAAACATTACAAGAATGCACACACGACAACTGATAAGTCGGTCGGTGTAGCTTTTTTTTCTTGGAACGAAAGATCGATAATGCTGCTAACCACTGCCACTTGTGCAAGCAGGTGACGTCGTTTCTGCTTTATTTCATGCGCGATTTCAGCACTTCTTGGACAAGATCAGATCAACTGATCATTGTACTACTAAATAAACTTTGACATGCATGTCATTGAGAAACGTGTCTGCATATATTTTATGTGGGGATAATAACATTGTTAAAAGAAGGAAGAAAAGGACTGGACGGTGATTCCCAAGTTGTATATCGATCAAACACCACCACCGCACGCTAGCTTGTACGTTTTGGCTTCCTATCCTATAGATAAATATATAAAAAAAGCCATGCATATTTGGCATGAACACGAGGACACGAATTTTCCACAAAATTTCTATGCGTTTCATATGGTTTCATACGTACAGGGCCACATCATGGATCATATGGATAGTGTAAACACGTAGATAGTAACGAATGAAAGGTATATATCATGCAGCAGGCTGGGGATAATGTAAGTTAACAGTGGGGCGAAAAAGACAAACAAAGATTCTATTATTGTTGCATATCAAAACCTAAGATTCCAGTTTGGCAGGTTCCTTCTTCATTCTTCAACTAGGCTATGCATGATGCTTATTAATTTGAAGTATGGAAGAATTTGCAGCGCTATTCAAAAAGGCAAAGATGCATGGAGAGAGGCAACCGTGTGTGCTTCTAAAATCGCCTAGACGACTGGCAAGAGCACAGTGGAAAATAAAATTTAGAAGGAGGAATGAAATACATATGCATCTAAATTCGCCTAGACGATCGAGGACATACTTTATTCACACCCTCGCCTAATTAACTGATGATGCACGGTTAAGTTTGATTATGTTTGTAGAAACGGCGTGGCTAGCGCCCAGACGTCTGGACGCCCGTGCGCGCCTCGTCTGTTGCACCCGTCCCGCCTGTCACGCATGCCGCTAAGCCTGCCCTGCATGCAACTGCTATGCCTGGACATCCGCCCCATCATGCAACTGTTGCGCCTGCACACCCACCCCTGCATGCTAGTGCGCCTCCGCATGCAGTTGTGCGTCTCGTGCCTACTGATGCCCGCCTCGTGCTTGCTAATGCGCATGCAAGTGGGGACCACACACGCTCATTTCATTTGACGTGCACGTGGGGGCCGCTACGCCCATGGGGACCGTCTCCGCATGCGCCCGCTTCCTGCTAATGTTGCAACATGAAGCACTTATGCAACATATGTCCAAAACAGGTGAACATTTGTAACATATGCTTGCAACATATGTATATAGCCACTGCAACATATGCAACATCTAGATAAAACACTTGCAACATACGTCTGAAACAGATGAAAGATTTGAAACATACACTTGCAACATACGTGTATCGCTATTGCAACATATGCAACATCCAGATGAAACACATACAACATCCGGAGCTCAATGCCATAGAGTATGTGGGCCCACGCTCCTCCTCTCTCTTGGTCCTTCTCTCTGGTCACAGCGCATGCACAGGCCCCCACGCGTCACATGCACCCCATGCGAGCGAGGCCACATGCGCTGCCTCGAACTAGTCACCGTGTGAGCTCCCATGCGCTACCCCACGCCGCATGCACCTCACGCCGAATAAGTGGCCGCACACGCTCCCATGCGCTGCCTCAGAGAAAGGACCGGTGCAGGCCCCTCCTACCTGCAACGCACAACTTTGTTTTTCTTGGCCATCATGCGCGCAGGGGTTGGGATGCCCTAAACCAAGCATTACCATTGTAGAAAATATTAACAATTTTTGTATCTCTAAATAAGTTTATATTATGAAAGTATTACACTATTCATCTAGTAATACTAATTTTTTTCTCTTATATATTCTCTTTTATATATATATGGTCAAATGGTCTATTTTTTCTCTCGCAAAATTTGTTGGAGCTTGTGTATAGGCTAGTTGTAAACTTATAGTCCACCTCTCTTCTCTCTTGTCTTCTCTTTTTTACCTTGGCATGATTACTTGTAGCCTGTTATTATACTTGCAGTCTCTTATTATACTTGTTCATTCTAACGTCGTCGTCACTGTCAGTTTCAACGTAGTAGAAGCAACTGATAATAAATACAGCTGCCAATGCAAATGGAAAACAAAGCGCATATAGCTAGTATTCAGAGCCGTTATTGCACCATCTTTGGTTTATACTTGTTCTAACGTCGTCGTCCCTGTCAGAGTGTCAGTTTCAACGTAGTAGAAGCAACTGAATACAGCTGCCAATGCAAATGGAAAACGAAGCGCATATTTGGTATATATAAATATATAAAAGATGTGAACGTACGGGTGGCGTGATGAGAAGAGAGCCCCGCCTGACATCATTTATATAAAAAAAGTACTATCATTCGTGATATAAAATAATTACCGTTAAATTTGTTATAGAATATATTTTCATAATAAAGTTTATTTGAAAACATAAATGCTAATATTATTAACTATAAACTCGGTCAAAGTTAAGCTACTTTGACTAGCACGGATCCCATAATTACATTATTTCCTGGACGGAGAAAGTAATACAATAACGTGTACGGACTACTGACTGCATGCTTCGTCTGGCGAGCGAGCTAGAGATTCATTCTCTGATCAACGTACTCTCTCGATCAGCAGTTCAAATGTTCAATTCCTTGTACGTTGATGATTAGCTCGATCATGACAGATTGGCGGTGGAGCTTGCTAGCTAGCTAGAGAGATTCCGTTCAGCGTCGTTTCAGCTTGTGTGTGTCTGCTCAAGTCAAGTCTCCTTTTGAAAATGAAGGCTCGATCGGATCCATATACACGATCGTCAGATCGAGGCTAGAAAGCAGAGGCAGCAGTGAGGAGGAGGAGGAGGGGTCGATCAAGGGCGTCAGGCGGTGAAGTGGGTAAAGCAGGTAAAGGAAAGCCCAAAGATAAGACAAGGACTCAACGAGCTATAGCACTTTTTTTTTCTTGACTGTGGGAGTATATGCCCCGTTTGCTAGATCTTCCACCGGCCCAACTCTTCTGACACATTCATTGTTTATGCAAGGTTTTTAGGAGCTCTTTTTCTCTCTCTCTCTCCTCCTCTCATGGGAGCAGGTGAAGCCAGCTTTTTTAGCTTCACCTGCTTCAACTAATTCTGTAACAGAGAGGACCTATGTCGAAGTAGCAGAGAGGATGTCGCATGGAGGTTCTATGCGATAGTACTGTCCTATAGAGTTTTTTTTCCCGCCTCTCTAGTCTATACGAAGGAAAGACCCATACAAAGAGTAGAGAAAGCACCACGTGTGTCGCACGGCCCAACAATGCCTGCTAGGCGCTGCTACAGGCCACCAGTGGATCCGCAGCCCAGGTTTGTCACTCTTTTTTTTCTTCTTCCGTCGCTAATGATTACTGCTAGTCAATTTCCTCAATGCCATCGAAAATTTTACTACTTCCTTCGTTGCCGTCAAAGTTTGCAAACTTTCCTTACTGTCATCAGAATAAATTCACACTTCACTCATTGTCATTTCCGTCATCATCTATTTCCCGCTGGTGGAGCTCACAGGTGTGGCTCTTCGTCGATGGTTTTCCGGCCATAACCCACCCCTCCATTGGGTATGGATTGGTGGGATATGAGCTCATCTTATCCCTATCCCACACCTAATTCTTATCACATTCCATATACAAACAAGGGTTATGCTATCCACCTTCCATCATTTTCCATTCTCACTGTTCATTTTCACAATCCAAAAGTCATTTAACCTTTTCACTCAGCTAAAGCACACAACCCATCACCATTTCTTCGGCCATATTTGGGAGGGCTCCGGCTTCACCAAAAACAGCTCTGACTCCTCTAAAGAAGTAGCTTAAGAAGTAGAGTCGTTATTGTTTTTGGTAAAACTTCTGATAAAAACAGCTTCTCTGGTAGTCCGGGCAGATAAGAAGGCTGAAATATCTATAATACCCTTGTTTTTTTCCTTTTCCTTTTCTTTGTTCTTGTTTTACTTATTTTGTTCTTTCCCTTAGCCCGTCGCTCTGGGGAGACCGGGGATCCCGCGGCGCACCACGAACTCTTCTTTCTTCGCCGCCGCTCCACCGCTCCCGCTCGGACTACCACCACCGCCCCACACCTCCCGTCGCGCCACCGAGCGACGGCGCGCATCCGCCTCCTCCGCTCCGCCCCTCCCGCCCCGCCTCCCGCGCCGTCTCGCCTCCGCCCCGCCTCCCTCCGTCTCCGTCGTCGGCTACGCGCGTGAGGCGGGAGGAGGAGCCGCAGCGCGTGGATCCAGGGGCAGCGGCGTCCATCCCGCGTGAGAAGGGAGAAGGAGCCGGTGAGATCTACTTTTTCCAGCTCCTCCATCTTTCGCAGCTCTCTCTCAGCGCTTTTTGCGGAGATTCGTCGGTAGCGACGGCGGGGCAGTCCCAGGCTCGGCGGCGGCGTCAGCGGATCCCCCTCCCGCCTCTCGCCAATCGCCTCGCGCCCTCGCCAAGGCTGGAGCCAGCAGCCGCTGCTCCACCAAGGCGGTCGCCCCGCTTTGGGAGCGCTTATGCCCCAAAGCGAAGCGTTACCTGTCCGCTTAGCGCTTTAGCGCGCTGAAGTGTGCGCTTATTACCGCTTTTTGGAACCCTGGGAGGGTGGGTTAACTGTGAGTCTTTCTTAGCTACAGTACTGTTGGGATCTCTTGAATGTGTAGTAAATTCGCAGAGCAATAATTTAAATCTAGCATTACAAAGTACTAAAAGATTAAGCAATCACTGTCCACAAACGCAAAATCTGAAGGCACCTGAAGCAAAACTACATTAACTGAGATTGCCAGTGTATAACACAAATGTTTCCTGAATAAAATTAGTTGCAGTAAATTCTGCAAACTACAGACCACCTGTAAAATGCATTTTGTTTAGCTGAATTAGAAGAGCACAACGTTGCTCATCAGAAACCACAAACTATGACCACTCACCTACCAGAACTACATGACAAAACTCATAAATTTGTATAGAAAAGAAGTTGGTCTTGTTTTGCAAATATTAATTTATCTAAGGCCTAAAACAAACTTGAATCCAATAGATCTAAAAGCCAAGCATTCAGTCAATTTTGCGAACCCATCAGTGATTGACTTGCCTAGACACTTTATCATCCTTGCCTTTACTTAAAGATGCTAGCTTGCCTGTTTTGTGTATGTAACCATTTGTTCCTCTCTCTGTGTGTGTGCCGCGCTAGTGCTACATAATACTTTTAGAGTTATACTGCTATATTTGCTTTGAGGCTTTTGTTCAAGCTCAGATAATTGTCTTAGTGTTGCATTCACTTGCTAAACCAACCAAATTGCTCACTACACTCAAAAGGGGGAAAAAGGAAATATGCATTGGAAAATGCCTAGATAACCAGGTTCCCAGGTCGCGCAGGTGTCATAGTTTGTCGGGCCACCTTGATAACTTTGGGTAAATTTAGGGCGTGTTCAGATCTGTTGCCGGCTGCTCGCCTTGCCCAGGTTTGGTAGTCACTCGCCTCGCCTGTTTGCCTGTCAAGCTTGCCTGCCTGACCGCCTGGGCAAGCAAATCCTTGCCAATGTAGGCGAGCCAATTTTTCTCTCCTGCGTGGGCAAGGTTTGCTCATGTGCTCTCATGGCCAGTCGAGCCGTCGCGGAAGTGACCACTCCACTGCTGTTGCTAGATGGAGGTTTGCTGTCGCTGAATTGACCACCATCACTGGATCGAGGTTCGCCAGCACGGCAGCACCGAATCGATCTCTGCTGCCATCAGATTGAGGTTCCCAGGCACTGAATTGACCCACACCGCTGCTGAATCGAGCTCTGCCATTGTTGGATCAAGCTACGGTTTGTGGCAAGGTGAGCGTTGGCAAGGGAAGAAAACACCTTTGGAAGATTGCCTGCTTTGCCTATCGAGGAGAGATGAGGCGAGCAGGCTAGGCTAAGCGAGCAGTAGCAAAGGATCCAAACACCTTTAGTTGCTAGCTGAAATTCATCAACCTGTGAGTAAATACATGGTACTGTTTATATATGTAAATAATTAGCGGTGAATTTGTTCTGCTGCTCAATGCTTCCTGTGATTCACTGTTATCCTTGTTTTTGTTCCCCATGATTCGTTCTTGGTTTACATGCTTCAAGAGGCATTTCTAGGGGTGTTTGGATGGGAACCATGGTTTGCCACGCTATACGTGCTGCAAGCCACACCACCATAGGCTGCCATTTGTTTCATTGCCAAACAGTTGCATGCCAAAGAAAGTTTGTTAGCACCGGTATTCTTTACCAAATCAATGATGAGCAATTCGTCCGCCAAACCTCATGCGTGATGCCATGTGCGAAAAGCATAGCAATGCCCTGCTTTCACCGCTCACCGTTCTGAGTAAAAATGGGGTGTACTTATGGTGTGAAGGACGAATTATTGTAGACACAAGCACATCTGCAGGAACCAATGAATCACCATCGTTGACTTCACACTTGGTCTGCGGTGGACTGCGCTTCCACCTTCTGAAGCCACAACCTCTTCATGTCGCTCGAGTGAGCCACCACCTTGCCCTGGCCTCTGCAGCAAGCCAGCGCTCCCAAATTGGTTGCTTCATTCCCTCACCCATGTACCCATGTAGGATGCCATCTGGTAGAGATGGAAATAGTCTGGGCCTCCATGGGAGATAAGAATTGGAGTGGAGACTTGAAAATGGAGGCAGTGAGGCACTAGAAGTGACCAGCAATGACTAAACTGCATAAACCAGCGAAGGCAAGGAATTGAAGCAAGATGAGAAAAAATCGACGGTTGGAATTGTTAAAGTGGGAAAGTGAATGTTAAGATAAGGATGACTAAGCCTTATTGAGGGTAATAATGGGAATTAAAATCAACAATTAAAGGAGCAGAAACGATTACAAATAAAGTACAAATTTATTATGCAATTGCCTCATCATAATATCAGTAATGGTTATTGAATGTGTATGAAAAATACAAGTTCCTGCTAACGTATATAAGATGGATATGGTATGCTCACCAATTGATAAAGGGAGGTGGTTGTATTCAAGCTTGGCTTGAAACCAAACATTTGCCACGTGTGTTTGCTGAATTTTTGGCAAGTTTTGCGGCTTCAATTCAAACAATAGCCTTACTAAATTTGCCACAACTTAGGGCAACCAACCAAGCACCCTTAACTTGCCACACGCCTAAGCTTAACCTTAGTTGTTAAAACATCTGGCTGCCAGCCAAATAGGCACAGTTAGTCAATTCGCACAAAATAAACTACATAATAGAGATGCAAATGTGGAATCGCTTTGCCATCAGGGAATTTTTTTTCCACTCACTGAAAAATCTGGAAGTTCTGCATGCTGATCTTTGATATCTGATTGTGTTTTTTTTTCCTTTTTCGGTGCAGAAAGATGATTAATCTTTTCAAAATAAAGGGTCAAAAGAAAGAAGAGGCAGCAAGTGCTGCTGGAAAGGCCCCGGTTAAGAAACAGTCTGCTGGGGAGCTCCGTCTTCATAAAGGTTTGTTGAATTATAGGTGAATTCTTTCTTGTATCAATCTGCTCTTTGTTTTCCATACACAACATTTATTTATATAATCCAAAACAACTGAAAAGATGCTCTTATCTGTTTCATAAAATAGCGAACTGTTTGCCACTGCTTGTTCCAATATGTAAGGTCCCACATATACCAATAAACCAAGGTAGCGTTTAATGAGCTCAGTGCTTACTACTAGGGGTAGACATTTACGACTTCCTTTCTTCTTGCCCTAGTATGGGCTGATATATTACATAAGCCTTTTAGATGTTTAAAAAATTATCGGTTTATCCTACCCTCTCCTATTAACTTCTTCGATCTTCCCACCTCTCACTCTCTTCTTTCCCATACTTACCTTGGTCCAAATCTCACTGCTCACGTTCTGTCCTCAATGAGTTACCCTAGGTGACTGGAGCAGCCGCACCGCAAGATGGTTCATGAGTGGATCCCCTCATTGAGTGCATAAGGAGCCACTGCCCATTACCGATGGCAGAGACTTAGTTGGTTTCATATCTTTTTCATTTTTCAGACATTTTCTCGTGCAAGTTTTATTTATTTTTTTCACATATTCCTTTTCTCTCCTGTATTCCTTCCACTGTTTGGAAGGCCAATTTTGATTTTGCCCCTGATTTTTAAAAACCAAAGGCCGAGTTTGCCTCTATTCTGTTAAGAGGACTTAACGATGTTGATTCATCTATAAACTGATTAGTTTGCCCATGCAGATTTTCCTGTGCTTTGAGTACTTTGTGTTTTCCCCTGTTTTGGGAGGAGCAGAGGCCATGTGCACCTGCAGCCTGGCCCACGTGCCACCCACGTTGCCATTGATTTCTGCCGTCTCTAGGATTTGTCTATCTAACAGTAGCTTCAATCCAAAAAGGTGGCTGCAAAATCAGAGTTGATAAAAGAGAAGCAAAAAAACACCATAAATAGGGCCAAATCACCTGTTCACCTGACCTCTGTCCCTTTAATTTTTTTTAATGTTTTCAAGTATCATGTTTGAAGGACTTACATCTAAAGCACGGCCTTTCAGTGCTTTCTTTATTTGTCCACGTTGTGTTTCCATGTTTGAAGGTATTGCTTCTTTTCACTTGGTTGCACTTGATTTCCATGGATTGCATTCGGTAAGTTGCATCTTCTAGGATCCCAATGATTGCATTGTTATGTGGGTTGGATTTATTTTCATGGGTTGATTCGCATGCAAATGGGAGAGCTATGTGTTGCATTTCAGCTAGCTCCACTAACGGAAATATGGTTGCATTGTCAGTGGTGGTGTTTCATTTTCTTTTTCATTTGAGGGTGTTATTTTTTCCATGATGTAACTTGCTTACTGTGCAGATTGTATTGTGGTCTCCAACCTTCCTTGTGATGCCATTTAGTGAGCAAAGTTACCCACTAAAACCTCTGTTAACTCTTCTGTGAAATGGGTTCCACCCATGTTAACATAATAATATGTTCTGGATACAATTGTTTGATGAACTGGACATGCATTTGAATTTACCAGAAGTAATCATTGTGGGCACTGTCTGATTTGTATCTGTATTCTGTATACAAATGGTAATTGTTTCTTTATGTGCACCAGACCAGTTCCTTATCTAATATTTCTGAATTCTAATAGAATAAGCTGAGATCCTAATCTAAGCTATTGGGGCATATGATGCAATAATCCATAAACAAGATGCCAGCTTCCAACTTATTGATATATCTGTGATATTTGGGTTTTCTGATGGTCTTGAATGTGTGATGAATTATTTATGTGGTTAATTCTTTCTAAACCTTGCAGATATTAGTGAGCTCAACCTGCCGAAGACCACATCAATTTCTTTTCCCAATGGCAAGGATGATCTCATGAATTTTGAGATCATCATCCGACCTGATGAAGGATATTACATGTAAGTGCCACTCTTGAGGGTAGTTGCTATGCTGCATAAAGCATAATTAAGGAGCCTTTTTCCACCTGCAATAGTATGTATGTTGTGGCTCTAGTGGAGAGGTTATCAATTTAGTGTACCCAAAAATAGTTTAGAAGTCATTGCTATCATCAGGTGTCAGCTTTGTGAATTTTCTGAGCCTTCCCCAATTTAATATACTGTCTTTTTCTAGGGGAGGCACTTTTGTTTTCTCCTTTCAAGTGTCCCCATCTTATCCTCATGATCCTCCGAAGGTCAAATGCAAGACCAAGGTATAAGACATTATCCTTTACATCTATGGTTCTCTCTCATTATCCACTAAATTACATTTCCTCTAAAGCGATTAAATACTTTGATGTTATATAAACATGCATTCAGGTGTACCATCCAAATATTGATTTGGAAGGCAATGTCTGTCTGAACATTCTGCGCGAAGATTGGAAGCCTGTTCTCAACATCAACACTGTTATTTATGGCCTGAATCTTCTTTTTACGGTATTTCAGCTATCTTGATTCCCCAATTATTGAAATAATACATTTAGAAATTGGGAAGACAAAAGAGTAGTGTTTGCCATTGTGCGTGCATTGTTGTCTTCCTATTACTACATTTCATGGACTATGCTGTTCGAGAGTTGCTGTTTAAAAAAGTAATCACTATTGTGCTCACAATGATGTTATCTCCGAAACAGACATACCAATCTGAGCAAGACCTTAGTAGTTCATTGGTTCTGTTACTAGTAAAACTGAATTTAATCCTTAAATATTATCAGGAAAGATGAGTTGAAGGGTGCTTCTAACTATGTTAATGAATAATTTTTCTATTTAGGTCTTGATTGGATAACGTAGCACTGTATTAAGAAACCATGAAATTGGTAAACTGAAGTTTTAGAACCCATAGACGTGCAAAACCTTGGTTTAGAAAAAAAGGGTCTAGAGTGGAGTTTTAAACTCCAAATAGGCTACAGATTTAGCTATACTATGGTTTTCAAAACTGCAAAGTTTGTTGCATCCCATGTTTTATTATCATTGACCAGTCTACTGTTTTGTCCACGTGTATAAGCAAAACTATTTGGAGCTTGTATTCGTGACAGTTAAAATTGTAAGTTTGGTTCTAAACCTAGTTTTCGAGGACAGCATATTTAATACTATGGTTTGGTTGGAAAAGCATCTCAAGACAATCAACCTTATCTAATGTTTATCGTTGTTTACATTGTTACTTGCAGCAACCAAACGACGAGGATCCTTTGAACCACGAAGCTGCAGTTGTCCTTCGTGACAACCCCAAGATGTTTGAGGCAAATGTGAAAAGAGCCATGGCTGGAGGCTACGTAGGCCAACACTATTTCCAAAGATGTGCTTGACTTGATGTGATGGCTTCAAAACGATTTCAGTGGCGCCTTAAGCCATCGGGCCCCTGTATCAGCACCAGCGCTCCCAGCTTTGCTGGATTTGTGTGGTTTTAGTGCGCAGAAAGTGCTTCTGGAAGCAAAGTCCAAATCGCTCATGGTGTGATACTGTGATGTATCTGTTTGCCCGTCTTTGTGACGTGTTTAAAACCAGTAAATTTAACTTGGTGATATGGTGGTGGCACATATGACAAGCAAATGCTTCTCAACTGTATCATTGGATAAATCCTAAACGAAGAATGGGAAGTGGATTATATAAAGAAGATTGCTTCTTTTCCAGACGAACAAAACGATCGATGAGGCGGTATCTTCGATTTTGTACTCTGCGGTCTTCATTGTCCGATCTTCCATGTCGAGATTGACGTGTATATCTAATTCTCTAGCTTTTTGGATGTCATTGTTCAATTTTTCGCTACCGTTAACTGACCATATGTCTCTTGCAACTGATCTGCTCCAGCAGCAAGTTTTTCCTAGCTACTGCAGGTGAGCCAAATCAGCTCGCTCGGGCTAGCTAGCAATAAGCTTTTCCTTGCTCATGCCAGCAAATTAAGCAACGAGATCCTTGCCAGGCTAGGAGAGCCAATTTGGCTCACCTCAATCTGCAAGAGAAAATGTTGCCCGCACGGAAAGTTTACACAGCCAAACACCTTACCAACTTAAATTTCTAGCTTGACTAGGTTATACAGTGCTAGGCAAAGAATCCAAGCATACCCTAAAGGCGAGGCAAACCTGTCCAGGGAAGCAAGCATCCAAATGAGCGATCTATCAACGGCCAAGTTCTTTTTTTTTTCTTTCTTTTTTGGGAAGGGAACGGCCCCAAGTTCTGATATGTCACTCGATCAGCACTTCAGCAGTGACATATCTTATAGACGACCACTTGTAAAGCAAATTTGCAAGATCAAAAGCGGCTCGAGAAGTTGTCCACTCAAACATTACATAGGAATGCACACACGACAATTGATAAGCCGGTCGGTGTAGCTTTTTTTCTTGGAACGAAAGATCAATAATGCTGGTCACTTGTGCAAGCAGGTGACGTCGTTTCTGCTTTATTTCATGCGCGATTTCAGCACTTTTTGGACACAAGATGTCAAGATCAGATCTACTGATTGTACTAAATAAACTTTGGCATGTGCTAGTTGAGAAAGGTGTCTATATATATATATATATATATATATATATATATATATATATATATATATATATATATATATATATATATATATATATATATATATATATATACTATCCAGTAGCTGGCTACAAAATAACTTATTCTGTAGCCACTTTGAGTTACGATAATTACTATGTTAATTTATGAGATTACAGTAACTCCTTACTAAGTGGTTTACTATGACGTTATGGTAAATATCTCCATGTGTTATAGCAACCTAACTATCGTAAATACGTATTGACATTATCGTCAATTAGTATATAAAATTATCGTAAATGGAGGTGGCTACAGAATAACTTATTTTGTAGCTGGCTTCTGAATATACTCTCTCTCTCTCTCTATATATATATATATATATATATATATATATATATATATATATATATATATATATATATATATATCGCTGGTTGGTTTCTGGGCTGATAAGTTCGGCTGATGCTGATTTGTTGTGAGAGGAAAACACTGTTGGCTGACTGATAAGCTCTGGCTGAAACCAACAAGCGAACAGACTATATATATGGGTGCATTTTATATACTCCCGGGAGTAATTACTCCCATAATCAATAAATCACGTTGTGTATATGTACATACTTATTTATCAGTTTGAGTATAATGACGTACTAATATTAAGATACTCCAAATCTTTACTATGTGATTTTTTTTTTCAAAAGAACACATATTTTTTAATATATTACATAATACTATGGTAGTAGCATATAAAATAAGTATAACTATATACTCTAAGTATACATACATACTTATCATACATAGTATCCTAAATGATTTAGTATGATGATATACTCCATCTACGTATACTTCGTCGGGCCATTCTGTAGCCGAGCCACACCACGCACGTGGGACCAGGCGCATCAGCGCGTGCATGGCTGGTGCGTTTATGCATGCTTCCCAGGCGCCTGCATGCGCTTCCCTGCAGTAATGACGTCATTTAATGAGCAATTAATGCCAAATTACCGGCCAGCAGGGGTGCTGTCTCCTGTCCAAGGCTGCAGCATGCAGGTGTGTTTGCTAGAATATGTGATCTCTTTGATTAGTCACGAGAATCTGTTTACTAGACTTGCAATTTTTTTACTAGACTAGAATCCATGCCTTTCTGCCCCCTAGTAGTTACGATATTCTATTTATTAGAATCCACAACTTTTTGTTACCAAAATAGTATATGTTCAACTAGCAAGAGTTACCAGATTCATGCAACAAGAGATTTATAAAAAAGTAAACGCTCCTAGCAAGAGTTGCAGTAACTCCACATAAGGATTATTGTAACATTCCGTTTGATTTATTTCTCGTAACATTCAAAATGCAGTAACTCCAAATAAGGATTATGGTAAATTCATCTTGTTATTATAGTAAATTGTTGCTCATATAGCTTGCATCCAAATTGTAGTAACTCCAAAAAATAATTACTGTCGCACTTTTTTGTTGTTGTTGTTCATTATATGGTAAATTTATCTTGTCTTATAGTAACTTGTTCCAAGAGACAATTTATTGCATCATCCTGAAACCAAATTTTACATAAACAAGATTATGCTATCAAAGCACATTCAAATTATCGTAACAAATTCATCTCATCATTGTACCTCACAACACAATTAGGTCTAAATATGGTAATTCCAAAAAATTTCCAGAAAAATTATTGTCACCCTTACAGGTAGCTCTTGAACAGCCACCCTAATGGTATTGCTTGTGCATCGTCTACAGCAGACGGTGTGCTGCAGCTAGCTACCCAGTAATCGCAATTACATAGAAGTTCCAATATTCTTGCGTGATCTAGAGGTTAATCTCAGATGCATTTGCCCAGACGCACCTATCTCTTCAGAAAATAAAAAAAAATATATGATGTGAAAGGACAGTAATAAACTATTTGATGCATTAGAAAACAGATTTTGTCGCTAGCCTGTTTGGGGGGGGGCGTCTCTGTCGCCATTGACCACCAGGGATGGATGGCCTCCACAAACCATATATATATATATATATATATATATATATATATATATATATATATATATATATATATATATATATATATACTTCTAAACTTTAGTCGTTGTTCCATCGAATGTTCGATACATGCATGGAGTATTAAATATAGACTGTTTACAAAATTAAATGCATAGATTAAAACTAATTTGTGAGATGAATTTATTAAGCCTAAGGGCACTCCCAACCCAGACTCTACCCATAGAGTCTTAACATCAAGACTTTATCACAAGAAACCATGATCCCCAATGCAGAACTTGTAATAGTAGTTTCTATAGATAAAAACATTTATTACTCAACACAAAGAAATGTGATCAGCTGTGGCATAAACTGTGTGATCCACCCTACACCTCTCAACAATATCACCATCCGCATGCATGATATATATCATCAGAAGCAATATGTGAATAAACCCAACACATACAATATATCAGTTAGCCGGCAAAGATACTCTACACAGAACTTCAATGAAAGTTTAGATAAGCTAGCCACGAGTCATCCAATGCTCATCAAAGCTAATTCAACATTGACTTTACATATTATTTGACCATAATTTAAAATGGCAGAGTTCTAAAGGTCAGCACTGAACCATGGGATACCACCAAAATCAGGAAACGAGCTCTAAAATTCAAGAAAATACTAGTAAAATCCATGTCTAAAATTCAAAAATAATAACAGAATGAGCAAGAGAAACCACTTTCCGTCTGTAAAATTCAAAAAAATAAATGTATGGCAAGGTGCAGCAACGATTGAAACATTATACAAAAAATCTCTGATGTAATCACATAGTTATATACTGGAACATTCTTCACCAAATTTAAAAGTAACTCACGGCTAAGCAAGAAAGACATGCCCATCAACATATTGAACTAGGTAGCTTTCACATGCATACAAATTTAGAAAACAAGACATTCTGTTCTCAATATTCCCAAATAAATAAAATGTTCCCATCGTCCTAGCAGCGCTGAAGAATGGATCAATGTGGCCATCATCCCAGCAATGCCGAAGAACAGATCAATGTGAAAGAAGTTGAACTCAAACCACTTGGACTTGCACTTTCACTTCTATTCCTGTAAGCAAGTCTTTATACTTTTAGACATTGGTGAGCCAACAAGGCAAGAATACTTCTGAGATACCACAAACAAGTGATAAATAAATACTTGGCCAGCAGACCTAGATGTATGTCTAGCTAGTGTGGTACAGTAAGCACTAGCCGACTTGCCTCCGGTACTGCATATCTCAAATTCTCAGTGTATGCTCGTCGATCGAATGATCGATCCATCAGCAAATTATTTAATTTACAAGGCTGGCAGATGACATATTTACGGTACTAATTGTAGATATCAGAGTGGTGGCGGGCAGCAACATATTTATGCATTATTGCACGTGTATAATATGTATGTGCTCCAGAGGACAGCAAAAGGCCAGAGGACATGGAGAAACTGGTTCTGCTTACCTAAACGGCAAAATAAGAATTACACTGAGCATATAAAAAATCCAAGTGCTAAATTTCTTAAGCTTCTCGGATGTTTTTCCCTGAGATCTTTACTCAATGACAGCCACAACAATGACCACCCACACCCAGTTCCCATCTCGCATTAATTACTTAAAACTGAAATATACATCAACCATAAACAAAGTGATCATGCTCTGCATCATGGATATCAAAGATGTACTAAAACTGACCAAATAAACAGATAGACATGTTGGACAGATGGGAGAAGGAACCAGAACAAAGCTAAACCTCCTATTGTCATCCCTTACTGCCAAATGAAAATTGAACCAT